TTTCGTAGCTTTTGGCTGATTTCCCTCGGCTGCGCCGACTGAAGAATATCTGCGAGGGTGAGATCACAGAGGACGAAATCTAATTGGCATTGAGGAGGGTCGACATATTTGATGGTCTGCCCTACGAAATGTAATATTGTCGCATCTTTGTCCTGATTTTGACAGTGATGTTCAACAACTGGTTCCGGCTGGGGTCCAGGGGATTATCTCGTTGTTGAAAAAGGGCAAGGATGCTGGGCGGGATTTAGATGATTACAGGCCCATAACTCTGCTAAACACAGAGTTAAAGATTTTGGCCAAGATCCTGCAGGAGCGTTTGCAGTCAGTTGTCGCGACCTTGTTGGGACCTGAGAAGACTTGTGCTGTGAGGGGACGAACAATTCAAAGTAACCTGCATCTGATCCGCACGATCATAGACAAGAAGGCCGCGCTGATCAATTTGGATCAGTCCTGTATCGCTCCCCCAGTGCTGTGATACAGGTGAACGGAAGGCGGTCGAGCGCTTTTGCGCTGACTCGGTCGGTACGACAGGGGTGCCCGCTGTCGCCCTTTTTTTACGCTTTGGCGCTGGAACCCTTCCAGTCCGGCCCTACGCGGAATTGCCGTTTTCCCTGGTAGAGCTCGACCCAGGGATTCTGCGTACGCCGATGACGTATCCATCTTTGTGTCGTGCCGCAGCGATATTGAGGTGGCGCAGAAAGCGCTTGAACGGTACGAGAAGGTGACAGGGGACAAGATTAACCGCAACAAGTCTTCCGGCTTGCAATAAGGTGCCTGGAAGGGGGTCGCGCTTCCGGGGCCCTTCGGCTGGACGGATGGACCTGTCTGCATCCTTGGGGTATGGTTCGGGCCCGGACTCCAGCTGGAGAAGAATTGGTCAGAAGTACAGGCAAAGGTCGGAGCGTCGAAGGAGGTTGTCCTTAAAGGGTAGGGCCGAGGCGTGTGCCACCCGTCTTGCCTTTATCATTTACCGCTTGGCTGTACTTCCTCTTTGCAGGAAACGTATGGAGGTGATCGAGTGCTTGTTGGCTGACCTCTTTGTGGGACGGTCGCAAGCATTGGGTCTGCAAAGAAGCCTGTTGTCAGCGTCCGTGTCGTGGGGGCTGGGATGGCCACACCTGGGGAGTCATCGCCATGGTCGAGGTTGTTTTCCTAGTCCGCGTTTTGGGAGGACTCGATATTGGCGCTGGTGTGATATTTCCCTCGCCTTACCATCACTTTGTTGTGGCCGTGGCGGTCAGGGTCGGTTGTCGGTCCCTCAGCGAGTGTCGGTCGGCCTTGAAGGTCATTCCTCGGTCCAGTGACCTTTCTCGGCGTCGAGACTTTTGTATCATGAGTTAGTGGAGGGGTGACCGGCTCGGCTTGTCGGCATCAGAGTTGCGCTCTTTCTGGTCTTGGGCGCCAGCGGCGGATTATCTCACCAACCCTGAGTTTTTGGGGGGGATTGATTCGGAATGTGCTACCTCTCAATGACATTCTCTTCAAGATGGGCAAGGCAATTTGGTTGTTACCGGTGTGACCTTGGTTTTTCAGGGAACAGCTTCGCACGCCTTCAACCATTGTCCTCGGGTGCGCCCTTTCTGGGATTATGTCGGCGAGTTGACGGCTCGTATCGCTCCCGATCAGCTCGTGTCCATTGATCTCGCGTACGTGTTTGACAATGAGTCGCCCCCGTACTCCGAGGTAAAACGGATGGTGTTTTTTACGTTGCTAGCCGTGGCTAGAATAGTCGGATGGAATCTTGCGAAATGATCGTTTTTAGTATCAGGATCTGATTTTGTTCTTTAAGCATCAGCTTGGGATGAAAATCAGATCAGATCGAAAGCGTTTGATTTCAACAGATTTCAGCGAAAGGTGGGTAACTATGGCGAGCTTGGTTCGTGTGGACGGGGCTAGGCTTGATTTTCTTTTTTAAGTCCTCTTAGTGCAACGGGGCGGTTTCCTATGGACCCCCATACTGGTTAAGGTAATCTCTATTTTGTGTTCCTAGTTAATGTGAATAAGTGTTGTTTCTGGCCTGTGCCCGGCTTTTCTTTTGTTATGGCAGACGTCAAGATTCCCAATCTCCCCAGTTTGTTTTTTTCCCCACATCTCGGCAGAGTCAGCTTTTGTTTTCCCCATTCCGTCATTTATTTTTCCCCTCCCATTTCCGTTAGTGAGTGTGCTTCTTGATTTTGTCTATTGACAGAATACAGCGGCCACTCTCATTATTTTGAGAGGCAGACAGGTCCTACTAACATTATTTTAATTTTGTTTGGTTTTCGGTTGATTTTTGATTTTTTATTGAGTTTCATAGCCCCTTCCCCATCATTTTGTGTTTCATTGAATTTTTATGGATATATTTATATATATATGAACATTAGAATTTTTAATTCATGGGGTGTTTGGTAGGCCCCCTGTGTATATGAGATATTGTGGTTTGTGCTGAAGTGATAGAGGATGGATGAGTTTTTGTGGCGAATGTGTAATTGTAATGAATGGATGGGTTGCGATTGTGGTTAACTAGGAATAGGATAGCTAGTGAAAGACCAACCTTTCCCCTTCGGCCTTGTGCCACAATTTTGTATTATTTACAAAATAAATAAACACTGCTCTTCTAGGCTTCGGCGGGACTAGACGTATTGCTGAAAGAAAGCGACATCAATATCTGGACACCTGACATAGCAACTTACCTTTATTTGTGTTATATTGCGGTCGTCAGTTTGTCCTCCTGATATTGTCTGCAAAGCTTGCTTCCTAAGCTAATTCTAAGCTTAGTTTTCTTTATAGCCTATTTTACGAAAAGTGAATATGCAATTATAATCCATTTCACATTTTTGTGGCCCATCTTCGGGTTTGTTTTGTATACAGGTTGCCGCCCGAAAGAAAAAAAAATCATCTAAGAGAGGTAGGAGAGAAACAGAGACTTGGTTTTTCAGTCTGAACTCCATTTATTTTGATCGCACTCCGATCGTATCTTCTCATGCCGTTTCTTGATTGGTTGACTTGGCATCATCTACATCCGGGTCTCCATTTTATTTTTTAAATTTAAATTTTTGATTCGCAATCCTCTTTGCAAAAACGTGACAGATGAAGCTAAAATATATATATTTCCGCGTAGCCGTCTTTGAATCTGTCATTTTTGTTTTATGTTATGTAAATTTTATTTCTGTTTTGTTTTCAAAACCTTATCATAGAGTTCCACTTGTTACTGCAGTAACTCAGGATTGTCGCCGCCAACGAAATCATATCTTTGTTCAAAGTGGTTACACAAGAAAAGTATTCTTCGACCTCCCACATGGCTCATGTGTTCCACGAGTGGCTGAGAAAAAGTTCCAAATAATATCACAGGTGGCATTATTCCAGATTGCAATCTTTTTTTCTACTATGTTTGATGACTTGACAAGTTGGTTACTAGCCATTAGCCACACTATCAACAAAGCGATGAAGGCGACCATTAAGGATAAAATATTAAAGAGAACCATCTGGTAGTAGCCGGATCCTTATAGTAGCCGTTTGAAGTGTGTTTCGTTGAATAACCTGGTTTTACAAGTTTTAAGTGTGTATCTTTATTTTAAATATACTCGCATTTTTATCTTGAATAAATTTACTATATTTCGTTTAATAAAACCTTTTCTCTAATGTCTGATAACCAATTTAGCGTTAATAACAGTACAGCTAACATTTAATGTGGGACATACTCGAAATCGAACTTCCAATGCTTTAAACAATGAATTTAGAAATAGATGATAAAGCATTCTTTATTTTGGATTGCATCTGCGTGCTTTTAAAACTTGTGAATAATTTTTAATAAAATCGTCGGATGGATTTTCCTTGCAAACGGAAAGAAAAATAGGAAAAAAGAAGAATTTATGAATTGAGACGTAAAATTCCTTAAAAAAGCAGCCAAGGAAGAAATGAAATGGGTGATAACAGTAAAAGAAAATGGAATCAGAATTTGGTTAATGCAACAAAGGAAAAATCGAAAATACTCGAAATAAGGAACCAAATGTAACAAGCAAGTGTGGAGGGGTGAAGAAAATGACTGGAAAATTAAGGCAAAAGAAAAAAGATGGATGAATAAAAAAGGAAGGCAGAAGAAAATGAGATGGCTGATGAAAAATAAAGGAATGGAAGAAAAACGAAACGAAAGAATAAAAACATTGAAGAAAAATCAGGCAAATGGAAAAAAAGATGAAGAAAAATTTATTATTAAATATATTTTATATGTTCGCATTCATTTTGGCAGATTAGGCCAAATAAAATTAAATAAAAAAAAAAGTCTACTTAACATTTGACTGTTGCTGAGTTTCCATAATAAACGATTCTGTAGGAATATCATCGTTTTGAGAATTCCAATATCCTAAATTATTATAATATTGAAAAAAAGAAATCAAGTAAATGTACAAATAAACCCTGCAATAACAAGAAACTTAAAATCACGTCAACCATCATCATCACACTTATTATCAATATAGAGAAGCTTCACTTTGTCATAGTGTTGTAGAGTAGTTTTCACAGTGGAGGCTTGTATTTTCAATAAGTTGTCCTAAATTAGGTTCGACGTACAAAACGTTAAGAACTTGAAATAAGAGTTAATGACGCAGCAATCTAGTTGTGATGGTTGGTACTTCAATGTCCGATATCAACTGACACGCTCAACACCACTCAGCCCAACTGGCACCCGCTACTACTACTACTATTACTTATTATGTGTGGGAGATCTATTAATAATAGAATAGGTACGTCAGGTATAACACATAGCAGCTATTCAATTCAATAATAGAGAATAACAAGTGGCTATATATATATATATATATATATATATATATATATATATATATATATATATATATATATATATATATTCCTCTATGAGCCGAATCCCTACAGGTCTTGGGTGATCATAGTCCTCCACAACTTTCCCTTCTTTGTAGTTCTTATTAAGGTTTACCTTTTTTTTTTACCTTTTTTGTTATCCCTCCTAAACCCCATTCTAAGCATTTACACAGACTCGTTAGATTGGTTATTCGGTGCTTTCTTTTGTCTTTCCTTCTTTTGTCCGGCATTTTTTTTGTATCTTTTTCTTTTGTTCCTTCTTCTTTTGCCTCCTTCTTTTGTTCATCCTTTCTTTGTACCGCTTTCTTTTGACCCTCATTATTTTGTACCTCCTTCTTTTGTCCCTCTTTATTTTCTTCGTCTTTCTTTTACCCCTCCTTCTTTTCTCCTTCTTTCTTTTCTCCCTCTTTCTTATCCCTCGATCTTTTGTTCATCTTTCTTTTCTCCCACCTTCTTTTCTCCCACCTTCTTTTCTCCCACCTTCTTTTCACTCACCTTCTTTTCTCACTCTTTCTTTTGTCCCTCTTTCTTTTGTCCATTATTTCTATGTCTCTCTTTCTTTTCTCCCTCTTTTTTTTGCCCCTTACTCTTTTGCCCATCCTTCCTTTATCCCTCCTTTTTTCTCTCATTCGTTTGTTCCCCTTTCTTTTCTGCCGTTTATTTTTGCCCTCTTCTTTTGTCTTTCCTTCTTTTCTCCCTTTCACCTTCAATATTTCCTGCGTGTATAAGATTTTCCAAGCCCATTTTTCTTTATTATGAGCGCTAAAATTTCAACTGGATTATAATTGTCCCTTCATTTGTCCATCATTCTTTTGAAACGCGTTATTTTCTCCCTCTTTGTTTTGTCATTTCTTTTTTTTGTCCTTTTATCTTTTGTCTCCCTTTCGTTTGTCTCTCCATCTTTTGTCCCTCCATCTTTTGTCCATCTTTCTTTTGCCGTTTCTTCTTTTGTCTCCCTTTCGTTTGTCTCCCTTTCGTTTGCCCCTCCATCTTTTATCCCTCTTTTTTTGTCCGTTCTTCTTTTGTCTCCCTTTCGTTTGTCTCCCTTTCGTTTGCCCCTCCATCTTTTGTCCCTCTTTCTTTTGTCCGTTCTTCTTTTGTCTCCCTTTCGTTTGTCTCCCTTTCGTTTGTCTCCCTTTCGTTTGTCCCTCCATCTTTTGTTCCTCCATCTTTTTGTCCCTCCCGCTTCTTCTTTTTCTCCATTTCGTTTGTCTCCTTTTCGTTTGCCCCTCCATCTTTTATCCCTCATTATTTTGTCCGTTCTTCTTTTGTCTCCCTTCGTTTGTCTCCCTCGTTTGCCTCCTTTTCGTTTGTCCCTCCATCTTTTGTCCCTCCATCTTTTGTCCCTCCATATTTTGTCCATCTTTCTTTTGCCGTTTCTTCTTTTGTCTCTCTTTCGTTTGTCTCCCTTTCGTTTGCCCCTCCATCTTTCATCCCTTTTTTTTTTTGTCCGTTCTTCTTATGTTCCCTTTTTTTTCTCCTTTTTTGCCCCTCCATCTTTGTCCCTTTTCTTTTTCCGTTCTTTTGTCTCTCTTTCGTTTGTCTCCCTTTCGTTTGCCTGCTTTTCCTTTGTCCCTCCATCTTTTTGTTCCTCCATGTTTTATCCCTCTTTATATTGTCCTTCTTCTTTTGTCTCCCTTTCGTTTGTCTCCTTTTATTTTGCCCCTCCATCTTTAATCCCTTTATTCTTTTGTCCGTTCTTCTTTGTCTCCTTTCGTTTGTCTCCCTTTCGTTTGCCTGCTTTGTCCCTCCATCTTTTGTTCCTCCATCTTTTATCCCTCTTTATATTGCCGCTTCTTCTTTTGTCTCCCTTTCGTTTGTCTCCCTTTCGTTTGCCCTCCATATTTTATCCCTTATTCTTTTGTCCGTTCTTCTTTGTCTCCTTTCGTTTGTCTCCATTCGTTTGCCCTTTTCCTTTGTCCCTCCATCTTTTGTCCCTCCATCTTTGTCCATCTTTCTTTTTGCGCTTCTTCTTTTGTCTCCCTTTCGTTTGTCTCCCTTTCGTTTGCCCCTCCATCTTTTATCCCTCTTTTTTCTTGTCCGTTCTTCTTTTGTCTCCCTTTCGTTTGTCTCCCTTTCGTTTGCCCCTCCATCTTTTGTCCCTCTTTCTTTTGTCCGTTCTTCTTTTGTCTCCCTTTCGTTTGTCTCCCTTTCGTTTGCCTACTTTTCGTTTGTCCCTCCATCTTTTGTCCCTCCATCTTTTGTCCATCTTTCTTTTGTCCGTTCTTCTTTCGTCCCCCATTCTTTTGTCTATCCTTCGTTTGTCCTTCTTTCTTTTCTACCTCATTCTTTTGTCCATCCTTCTTTTCCTTTCCTCCTTTTTTTCCCTACTTCTTCTGTCTCTCGATTTTTGTCCCTCTTTATTTTCTCCATCTTTCCTTTCTCCCTCCTTCTTTTTTCCCTCCTTTTTTCTCTCCTTCTTTTCTTTGACACTCTTTCTTTTGCCCCTCTGTCTTTTATCTTTCATTCTTTTGTCTCTCTTTAATTTCTTCCGTTTTCATTCATCCCATCCTTTTGTCCCTCCCTCTTTTCTCCCTTCATCTTTTCTTCTTCTTTCCTTCGTCCTTCCTTCTTTTTCCCCTCGTTATTTTCTCTCTCTTTCTTTTGTCACTCCTTCTTTTGTCTCTCCTTTCTCCTCCCTCATTAGTTTCTTCCTCTTTATTTTATCGTTTCTTATTTTGTTCCTCCTTCTTTTGTTCACTTTGTTTTGTCCCTTTTTCTTTTGACCCTCCTTCATTTTCCCGCCTTCTTATTGTCCCTCCTTTTCTCTCTCTCTTAACTTCAATATGTCCTGTGTGTGTAAAATTTTCCAAGCCTATTTTTCTTTACTATGAACGCTAAAATTTCAAGTGAACTATATATAAATATGATTGAGAGAGAGAGAGAGAGAGAGAGAGAGAGAGAGAGAGAGAGAGAGAGAGAGAGCACACACACATACAGAGGAATCAAAACTCAATTTCACACTTCCCTTTCTTCAGACCAAGTGTTTAAATTTCATGGTTTAAATTTCATATTGAAGTGTGAAACTGATAGTTACCAAAATGCGGTGTTGATATCTACATCTACCACACACAGCCGCCCTGGATATGACAATAAACTACATCAGGTAGCAAGGCCTCTGGAACAACCTCTTAATTGCTGTTGTTCCCAGGCCCACCCTGACCTGGGATTGTAGCACACGATAGACACTCAAACAGTGAATACCCAAACTGTATTCAGGAGCCAATGAAAGTATAAAAATATATTTTTTAGTAAAAATACTGGAAATGCATATTCATATTAAAAAAAAATATGTGTATATCAAAAATATATTTTCGTAAAAATTATGAAACTCCTAAGAAAATTAAATTTTCGGCATTAAACGACCCATAAAGATAGGGTATGTCGCTAAACAAAGAACACAAGTACACACGCAAACATGCACGCGCGCTCACACACACACATATATATATATTGAAGAATAAAAAATATTAAAAATTAAAAAAATTATATATATATATATATATTGGCCACGCAACCAGTTAATACTGAGACATATTAACATGAACCATTACCTGATGTCAATCATCAAACTTATCTTTTGCATAACAACATAATATCTCATTAGTAAGTAGGGGAGACCAGGTTGCTAATATATTGCTTTTGTTTCTTTTCTTTCATGATAGTATTTTTCTTCGTAACATTCTAACTTTAATGATTTGATTAATTGTATAATTATAGGTTCCAAATTACTCGTGTAGAAAATATAGCCATTGCGATTGTAACATTCTTAAATAATGGCGATTTTTGAAAAAGGTAAAGTTGATATTTTTATAGAGGCCCGCTGCAGTAATGGTTAGCGACTCAGATTGAGGCATCGTGTTCGAATTCCAGTCGAGTGGTTAGAATTTTCGCATTCTGACAAGGAGGCCCGGGTCAAATCACACCATTATCCTAGTCTTGACGTGATTACCATGGCATTTAATCTGATAACACCAGGAAGGTGATTTCCTGATGTTATCAGATTGGAAGGGTCGATCCCAGCGACGGCACACTTGAAGAATGCCAAAAAACCGTACCAAGGGTTGACCTAAGTCTTGTGAGTGAAATTGGGTAGACGGAACCTTTCGGGATGGTCGATAGCTGTGCTGGCACGAAGTCAAAAGTCACTGTGGCCGAGTGTTTGAGCGTACTGGCCTTGTTCAAATTACTGATCACGCTAGATAAAACGCTCTTTACCAGAAACTGTAACTAAGGTCTGCTCGGAATAGTTGCAGTAGAAACCACAGGTTGGCTCTATTTGTGCTGAATAAACACAAATGCGTCTGAGCAAGCGTCTTCAATAGGGATTGGCTAACTGCACTAGTAGACGCGTATTCTCGAATACGTGTGGCCAGCTATACTCTCTATATGGTCTGATCTGGTTCTTGTAAAGAGAGAGCGTATCAGGGAGGAGTCACATGCTAACTGGTCCTTTCAAATACTTGATAATCTTTGTGTAAATGTAATGCAGAATAGAAATTAGGAGAGATAAACAAAATTTACTAAAAAGCTTTTTGTATGATCACTGATGAAATGAAGCAACCTACGGTATGGAAGAGGCTATAATCTGGCTCACGGGAAATGGTTGGCAGAACAGGGATTAGGAGAGATAGAAAAAAACAAAATTTACTAAGAGCTACAAAGGATGGGAAATTGTGAAGAACCATGATTGCTGATGAAATGAATGGACCCACGGTATATAGAAAAAGAAGAAGAAGAGCTCATAATCTGGCTAACAAGCTTTTGTAAATGGTTGGCTGAACAGGGATTAGGGGAGATAGCAAAAAGACAAAATTTACTAAGAGCTACAAAGGACAGAAAATTGTGAAGAACCATGATTGCTGATGAAATGAATGGACCCACGGTATATAGAAAAAGAAGAGGAAGAGCTCATAATCTGGCTAACAAACTTTTGTAAATGGTTGGCAGAACAGGGATTAGGAGAGATAGCAAAAAGACAAAATTTACTAAGAGCTACAAAGGATGGGAAATTGTGAAGAACCATCATTTCTGATGAAATGAATGGACCCACGGTATATAGAAAAAGAAGAAGAGGTCATAATTTGGCTAACAAACTTTTGTAAATGGTTGGCAGAACAGGGATTAGGAGAGATAGCAAAAAAGACAAAATTTACTAAGAGCTACAAAGGATGGGAAATTGTGGAGAACCATGATCGCTGATGAAATGAATGGACCCACGGTATATAGAAAAGAAGAAGAAGAGCTCATAATCTGGTTAACAAACTTTTGTAAATGGTTGGCAGAACAGGGATTAGAGAGATAGCAAAAGACAAAATTTACTAAGAGCTACAAAGAATGGGAAATTGTGAAGAACCATGATTGCTGATGAAATGAATGGACCCACGGTATATAGAAAAGAAGAAGAAGAGGTCATAATCTGGCTAACAAGCTTTTGTAAATGGTTGGCAGAACAGGGATTAGGAGAGATAGCAAAAAGACAAAATTTACTAAGAGCTACAAAGGATGGGAAATTGTGGAGAACCATGATCGCTGATGAAATGAATGGACCCACGGTATATAGAAAAAGAAGAAGAAGAGCTCATAATCTGGTTAACAAGCTTTTGTAAATGGTTGGCAGAACAGGGATTAGGAGAGATAGCAAAAAGACAAAATTTACTAAGAGCTACAAAGGATGGGAAATTGTGAAGAACCATGATTGCTGATGAAATGAATGGACCCACGGTAT